TAATGGACACAGAAAAAGATTTTACATAATCCAGTACTGTTGTATAAGAATGCTTAACAAAATAAGCATAGCTGGGACATACCTCAATATTATAAAAGTCATGTATGACAAACCCACAGGCAACATCATACCAAATGGGGAAAAATTGAAAGCATTCCTGCTTATAACTGAAACCAGACAAGGTTGCACACTGTCAGCACTTCTGGTCAACATAGTTCTGGAAGTCCTAGCCAGAGCAATCAGGCCAGACAAGGAAATCAAGCTTATCCAAATGGGGAAAGAAAAGGTCAAATTATTGATATTTACTGATGATATGATCTTAAATTTAGAAAACACCAAAGATTCTGTGAAGAGACTCCTGGAATTGATAAATAAATTCAGCAAAGTTTCAGGTTACAAAATCGATGTACACAAATCAGTAGTATTCATATATGCCAACAACATTCAAGCTGAGAATCAAATCAAAGACTCAATACCTTTCACAACAGTAACAGACAAAATAAAATAACTAGGAATATATTTAACCAAGAAGGTGAAAGACCTCTACAGGAATAACTACAGAACACTGAGGAAAGAAATCACAGAGGATGTAAACAAATAGGAAAACATATAATGCTCATGGATCAGCAGAATCAACATTGTTAAAATGTCCATACTACTCATAGTGATTTACAGATTTAATGCAATCTCCACTAAAATACCAATGTCATTTTTTTGCAGATCTAGAAAAAATAATTCTATGCTTCATACAGAACCAGAAAAGATCAAAAATAGCCAAAGCAACCTTAAGCAAACTGGGAGGCATCACTTTACCAGACTTAAAGCTATACTACAAGGCTATAGTAAGTAAAATAGCATGGTTTTGGCACAAGAACAGTGACATAGATCTATGTATCAGAACAGAAAACTCAGATATAAAACCATCCTCATTTGCCATTCGATTTTTGACAAAGCAGACAAAAACATACACTGGTGAAAAGAATCCCTATTCAATAAATGGTGCTGGGAAAATTAAATAGCCACATGTAGAAGATCCAAACAGTCTCTGCACCACTCACCACTCACAAAAGTTAATTCATGACAGATAACAGAATCTACCAAGAACTCAAGAGAATCAGCAAGAAAACATCAAATAACCCCATAAAAAGACATGAACAGAAGCTTTCCAAAAGGAGATAATTAAGGAGATAGACTAATGGACAATAAACAGAAGAAAAAATGCTCAATGTCTGTAATCACCAGAGAAATGCAAATCAAAACCACAATGAGATATCACTTAATCCCAGTGAGAATGGCTTTTATCAAAAAGTCCCAAAACAACAGATGCTGGAGTAGATGTGGGGAAAAGGAACATTTACACACTGTTGGTGGAACTGCAAACTAGGACAATCTTTATGGAAAATAGTATGGAGATAACCCAAAGAACTAAAAATAGAGCTATCATTTGATCCAGCAATCCCACTACTGGGTATTTACCCAAAGGACAAAAAGACACTCTATAAAAATGACACCTACACTCCACCGTTCATAGCAGCACAATTCACAATCACAAAGGTGTGGAGTCAACCCAAGTGCCCATCAATACACGAGTGGATTAATAAAATGTAAATATTAATAAAATTAATAAAATATGTATACCATGGAGTGCTACTCAGCCATAAAAAAGTGGTGAACTATAATACCTCTTGTAACAACCTCTATGGAACTGGAGACCATCCTTTTAAGTGAATTATTGCAAGAATGGAAAAATGAACATCACATGTACTCACTACTAGATTGGAACTAATAGATCAACACTCATATGCACATATGGTAGTAAAAATTCAACAGAAACCAAGCAGGTGGGAGGGAGGAGGAGGGCATGGATAAATTCACACCTAATAGGTACAATGCACACTTTCTGGGTGATGGACATACTTATAACTTTGACTCAAACTATACAAAAGCAATTAATGTAACCAGAACATTGTACCCTGTAATATTCTGAAATAATAAAATAAAATAAAATAGAAAAAAAATACTAACTTTAAATTTTAAAAGTAACATATGAATACATTCGCCTTACAAAAACAAGAGAATTATAGGGGCTCGGGAGATTGGGGAGATGTTGACCAAAGGACACAAAATTTCAGTTAGACAGGAGGAATAAGTTCAAGAGATCTATTGTGTTAATACATTATAGTGACTATAGTGAATATATTGTATATTTGAAAATTACTAAGAATAGATTTTGTGTTCTTATCACAAAAATATTATAAATATGTGAGATAATACATATGTTAAATAGCTTGATTTAGCTATTCCACAATGTGTATATATCAAAACATCATGTTGTACACCATAAATACATACAGTTTTTACTTGTCTACTAAAAATAAAGTGAAAAAAATTTAAATACAAAAAAAGTAAGAATCACAAATAATTCTAATTGCCTTTGACTTACACTTCCAATTCTGGTTTGCATCCTCAATACCAGCAACCATTATTGTATGTTTTTATGTGTTTAACAGAACATGAATAGTGTTTTTTTGTATATGTATTTTATATAGTACCAAAGGAAACTTTCTTTTTCAATAAAAATGTTTTGATAACATATTTTTATTGGTAATCTACTTTTCATTCCTTTTCAAATGCTCTACAGCTTTCCAATGTATGTATCACATTCCATTTATTAATTTTATTTATTCATTCCCTAACTGAGGTACATTCAGATTATTTCTAATTTTTTACAATATCATCAACACTGAAATAAACAACCCTGTAAATGTTTTCTAGTTCATGTATGTAGGTGTTTTCCTATGGTACATATCTTATATTCCTAGATTTTTAGGATGTTTAAAAATATTTTTAAAAACAGATATTGATTATAATTGTGTGCTTTTAGTATTCCTACTTTCCTAGTTTTGAATACTTTTTCCTAATTTAGAAAGACTTTTAAGATCATGATTAAGTGTTCAATATGAGTGTATATTCTTTTTAATCTCCACTAAATGAACAAATGATTTTTCTCTTTTTGTGTTTTTAAATTGATATATCAATTAAATTAGTGGTACAAATTTTAGGGGGTACATGTGGTATTTTGTCACATGTATACACTGTGTGATGATCAAATCAGGGTAATTGGGATATCCATCACCTCAAACACTTATCTTTTCCTTGTGTTAGGGGCATTGCAATTTTTTTCTTCTGTTATTTTGAAATATATGTTATTAACTATAATTTTTCTACCAATTTTTCTCTTTTAACCTGTTGTGGTGAACTATAGTAATTTTCTAATGTTGATATATCCTTATCTTCATATGATAACCCTAATAAGCCATGATGATTGGTTGGGTGTGGCAGCTCATGCCTGTAATCCTAGTGCCTTAGGAGGCAGAGGTGGGAGGATCAGTTGAGGCCAGGAGATCAAGACCGGCTTGGGCTACATAACAAGACTCCATCTCTACAAAAAATTTTAAAAATTAGCCAGGCACAGTGGCACACATCTGTAGTCCTACTCCAGAGGCTAAGGCAGGAGGATCACTTGAGCCCAGGACTTCAAATCTGTAGTGAGCTATGATTGTAGCACTGCATTCCAGCCTGGGTGACAGAGAAGGGCCCCCCTAAAAAAAAGAAAAAGAAATGGTGATTATTTAAAGAAATATTGCTGGATTTAATTTCCTGATATTTATATAAGAGTTTTTTCCATCTATGTTCATAAGTGTAATTGAATCATAGTTTTCTTGTACACTTCTGGTTGAAAGTTGGTAATACATTTTGCACATTTTATAAAATGCTTTGGCTATCTTTCCATCTTTTTAAAGTTCTGTAACCATGAATACAAGACAGGATTTACATGTTTCTTGAGGTTTGGTAGAACTTGTTATTTAGCAACTGTTTTTCAAATTAATAGTTAATTATTATAACTAATTACATTAATTATATAATCTAAGTCCTTCATACTATCAGTTGGTTTTTAATCTATATGGTGTCTATTTCTGGGATAGATTTATTTATACCTTCTACTCTAATTACAAACTATGGAGGCTTTCCCATATTTCTAATAGTATTAGCTTAGGCTATGCTATGGTTTCAGAGTCATAATAGTTCAGGAGTGTATATTATCTTAATGGACTTTGTCCTTCAGTAATACAAAATCCTTTCTCTTTTCATGCTTTTCCTTTCAATTATGTTAATATTGCTATATTGCTTTCCTTTGGATACTATTTAATTAAAATTCTTTAGCCGAATATTTTTGAGTTTTCTGTGTCATTGCCATTTGCTTGTGATCAATTTATGGTCGAATTTTTAAAATTTGTTGTTTATTTACCAAGAGAAACTATTCCTTAGCCCACATGTTCAAACCTAGGAACACATGTCACTGAAAAATTTACATGTAATTCAACCCAAGGAAAGTCTTTTAATTCCCCAAATCACTTTGCACTCTGATACAAGCCTTCCCCACCACCTCAAAATCTTTCATAGAATCATAATTTCTGTAGAAATCAGCATATGCCTTCTTTCTTGGTTCAGCCACAGCAAACTTATAGAGAGCTGCAATCCCCAGGGAAACAACAAATGCTCCAACAATATGAAATTGCAGCCACCTGGCCAATCTGAGGTTTTGTCAAGTGATGGAAGCTCTGGTAGTTACTGTCTTTGCTAGGTATGTCAACCTCTACACATCCTTCCTGGCTAATGGAGAAATGAAGTTTAACTTTGTTTTTAATCTCAACTGTCATTTTAAATTTAAATGACTGAAATTAACCCATTTATATTTATTGTACTTACTCCTCTTGTTTTAATTTCATTTTATTTACCACATTTTCTTCTAGTTTCTTTTGCTTTTCTTGTTCCCATTTCTGCCTTTTGTTTAACTGGATAGGTTTTCTTTGTCCCTACCCCCACTCCTTTAATGGTCTGCAAATTATAAATCCAATTTAATTCTTCACTGTTATTCTTCACTTTAAAAACTTAAGGTCACATATTCAGAACACATGTTTAAAATCAATAATCAATACCTGGAGTTAATTTGCCTCTATAATCCTGAAATATGTTTCTGAACTTTTTCCTGATTCTCACTTCTCACGTTTGTAAAATTGGGAGCATGAGTTCTTCAGTTGTTATCTTAAAGATTAAATGTGATGCAGTCTCAAGCACCAGGCTTTATAAAGAGGTCTTCAATTCTTTCATTTCAATTCTTCATTCAACCAAGATACTTCAGATCCAGAGCACACAATTACCTATCTCCTTTGTCCTTCAAAGTCACCTTCTCTTTCATATCTCTTGCATCATTCATTATAGTCTTCATATCTCTCTCACTGTCTCTCAATTTCTTTGTAATTCTCAGAATATCTTCTCCTCCCCCTTTTACATAAAAAAATTCTACATTGTACTGAATAGCCTCTTTTTTTTAGATTTAATGAACATCATTTTCCAATGACCCATGGCTTTCTTCGTTTACCCTTCAAAATGGCGGACTTTAGACGTTCCATGATCAGCACCACGTGAGCCCCGCCTCCCGCGGCCATTTCGCCCAGCAGCCCAAGCTAGAGCTCCTGCTCCGAGAAGCGCCTGCGCACGAGCCTCCAGAGCACTGTTGCTCCTCCCTCTAACTGAGTACGCCTGAAACCGCACGTTCCCTTCCCTTCCCCCCCTAAAGACTCTGCTTCGGTCTCACTCCTTCCTGTGAGATTCTTCCGCCAAGTGGAAGGCCCATCTTCGGTCGACAGCCTACGCACTTGAAGAGTAATCCAATAGCCACTTCAAGCCTAGGGTCTCGTCATTCAGTATTATCTGTGCGTCACGGCAATTTTCCTCCGGTCCTCAAAGTTGATAACCGATTTCGCGGGACTTTTTGTATATTGTGAGGCAATAAACGGAAAGAATAGGCCTGTGGCGGAGGGATCTCTCGCTTACTCTCTGTGTACTTTAACCTAATGGGGGTCGCCTGGGAGTCGGAAGGGGGAGGGTAAAGGGAGGAGGCAGCCAAGGAATTGTTTTTTTTCTCTCGCCCCGCCTTCTCTAGGCTGGCCAATAGTGATGGTCTGTTTCCCCAGAAGCCTCGCCCAGCTTCTGTACCTCAGCCAATGAACGGCCGAAGCGGCTCCGAGGGGGCGGGCCCGGGAGGCTGTGCGTGTCTTGTGAGAGCTCTTGAACGAAGTCAGAGCTAGAGTCTGCTGGGCGGCTGGAAACGGCGGCCGTCGCCGGTGACTCAGGGAGGCGGGAGGCGGGGTAAGAGCGCCGCGGCCTCGGCTGCGGGGAGAGGAGGAAGAAAGGTGAAGGCACCGAGCGCGCGGCCCCGCCGGCGGTGCGCAGGTCCTGGCGACGGGCGCCCGGGGGTCGGCGGCCGGGATTCGGGGTGCCGGGGCGGGGCGGCGGGGCAAGTGCGGAATCGCGGGCTCTCCCACCCTCTCCGCGGGGCCGTCCGGGGCGGGGACCCGGCCGCCCCGGACAGGCCCTCTGCATTGGGGGCCTTTTCTTTTCCGGCGTGAGGAATGAACACTTTGAAATCCACTTGAGCCTCAAATAATTCTCCCCTCACTCCCTCTGCGTTTAGGTTTAAGGTTTTAGGAAAGCGAAACTTGGGAGAGCGAGGGTCACGAGGCGTCTGGGCCGTGTTTGCGGTGGGGGAGGGACCTGGGGGGCGGGGAGGGCGCGGGTGGACGGCTCGGGTGCGGGGTCCTCCTGGGGTCGCGTCCTCGGTGCAGGGCTTGGACCTCTCCCCCGCCGTCCCTTCCCGTCCCCCCTCCCCAACCGGCCGCCCCCATCACATTTTGTTTTTGTGTTTTGGCAGGGAGGAGCCCTTCCTGCAGGCGTGGAAACCATGGTGCTCACGCTCGGAGAAAGTTGGCCGGTATTGGTGGGGAAGCGATTCCTCAGTCTGTTCGTAGCCGACGGCAGCGAAGGCGGCCACGACAGCTGGGATGTGGAGCGCGTCGCCGAGTGGCCCTGGCACTCCGGGACCATTCGAGCTGTCTCCCACACTGATGTTACCAAGAAAGACCTGAAGGTAAAACGGCTCCCGGGCCTCGGCAGCCCGGACGTTTCGCAGTTACCTTGGTAACGCGACGGTCGGTCCCCTCCCTCCGTTTTCTGAAAACCGGGGCGACCAGAAAGTTGGCATCTGATCTAAAGGTGCAGAAAACTAGACCTTGAAAGTCTTTGAAATGGTTGTGTAGAGCCGAGGTGTGTTTGGCCTAGAGTTCCTGGCTGCTTGGGTTTAATAATGGGCTTAGGGTTGTTTAGACAGGCTTCAATAATGCCGGTGCTGTGCCCCCACTAGGGCTGTCGGATTATTTTTACAAAAGCAATAGTGTTATTGTTAGTATTAGGTTGGGCAAGTGGGTGACGTTTGGAATCGTAAAGAATTGAGGGTTGGTGCTTGGAAGTACTTCAGATGCGTTTTTGTTTGTTTGCACTTCTTGATTTCTCCACTCAACTTTTTGAAAAAACTTTCAGACTTGTCAAAAATGAAGTGAGTGTAGAGGGAGGAGCTTAGTTCTGTTTGGCGTTTAGGTTGGGTATCTGTCCGTATATGGTGGGTCAGGGCAGGGTTGGGTTCCTGGTTGTCTCAGATGAGTCCGTGGGTGGGTGTGGGATATGGCCATATATGGAGGGATGGGGTGGAGCTGCACCGTATATGGTATATTGGAGGAATGGCTTCAAAATATCACACTTGGATGTTTGAGGGGAGGGAGAGAAATGGGAACAAGTGCAGCCAGTGATTTTTTAAATCAGAATGACACTCGGAACCTTTTTCTGTTAGATCTCTTCAAAGAGATGAATTCTGATTGTGCTTTCTAATAGAAGTATTGGTTTGAAAGGATTGTCTGGGAACAACCAGTGAGGAAGCCATTATACCAACAAAGACTCCTTTGTGCAAAAATAAAAAAGGATTCTCACAAAGACTCCAAAGTGGTGATAACTTGAAGGAAGCTTGTCAGAACAGAAGATATTTACACTCTGGGTAATGGATATATCTTCACTTGGTCCTCATCTTTGCTTTTTCTTGAAAACTGTGCTCAAATAAAGGAAGCAAGTTTCAGCATTGACAGTTGAAGATGTGTTGATTTCTGAAACACGGTTCATTTGAACATTTCACAGTGACAGTGCATGCCCAAACTAGTATTAGTCTACAAAAGGCTGTAGGAAAAGGATATGTGGTTATATATTTTTAAGCTTTGTGTGTCCCTGTCTTCATGTTGACAGGGAGAAATGACCATTGAGCACATGCCAAGCATTTTGCAAAGCACTTCACAGCCATGATCTTATTTAATTCTTAGAGCAGATCTTGGAAGTAGGTACTACTACTTTCTCCATTTAACAGATGAAAATATTGTGCCTGAGGGATATTAAGTATCTTGCCCAACGTCACATACCTAGGAATTGGCATAGCCTGTATTCTGTTTAATCCAGGAAGTTTTACTTCAGAAGCTACCCTATTAAGCAGGCATCCTCAAACTATGGCCCACGGGCCACATTCGGATGTTTTTGCCCGTTTGATTTTTTACTTCAAAATAAGATATGTGCAGTGTGCATAGGAATTTTTTCATAGTTTTTTTTAAACTATAGTCCGGCCCTCCAACTGTCTGAGGGACAGTGAACTGGCCCCCTGTTTAAAAAGTTTGAGGACCCCTGCTCTTAACCATCACATTTGTGATCAAGAGCTGTGCCACAAAAGGGCTCCTGTCATACACTGTGAGGTTTGTTTTTTTTCCCATTCCACTTATTCTACCAAATCAGGTTTTGATGTTTATAAAGATAATGTATTCTGATGCAGGGATGACCAATCTATTTGCTTTAGGTTAATAACCTTTCTATGTAAAATGGGCTTTGTGTACTAGATTTCCATCATGGTTTTTGTGGTTTATTTCACCTACCAAGTAAAATTTTCTTTGCCTTTGTTTTTATCTGATTTGAATGAAAACAAGATTTTATTTAAACTTTACAGTCTTTAGTTCTTTGGCAGATAATGAGAGACTAAGTGTTCCCTTCTCTTCCCTGGCAGTGATTGAGGACCTATTGGATTAGTCAAGAAATCTAGGAGGTTTTATATATATTTATATATGTTTTTTATTCCACATCTCCCTGCCCTCTTCAACCTTTGAGGAGATGGTTGTATCTTTTTCAGAATGAGGAAATAGATTTGGGAAAAGGAGTCTTGACCAGTGTGAGGTGCCAGTCTACTCTGTTTCTCTTTTTAAATCATGATTTATCCCTATATTCCTTAGTTGAGTAGCAGATGAAGTAACTGGCTTAAGTTTAGGGGCCATACTGTATTTAACAAAAGATAGGTTTTTGAAACAATAAAATCAGTGCTTGCTTGGTGAAATGTAGGCAGAAACAAAGTAAGACTATGCTTACACCTGGGCTTAGGGACATTAAGTTTTGGGGGGCCATTGGGCTGGCAGCTGACATGAATATGAATAAATAAAATTCAAGTAGTGTGCAGCTGTTCTTCTAGTATTAGTACAAATACAAGTTTCTCTAGAGTAGCTTGCTTTGGTAGTTACCTAGTAGTTACAGATGATATTAAATGAGTCCAAGGCCTGTTAATTTTGTTTCACCTAGACAGAGACGGTAACAAAGTCAGTTACTTAGGTAACAAAAAGACACCGTGTCTAGTAGTTGGTTACAAATAGGTGAACACATAATAACAATAGATAATAATGATTCAGTGGTTATTATGTGACATTAAATCCTCACAAATATCCTAGATGGTAAACTACATTGTTTTAGTGTCAAAAATTGAGGCTTAAAGAAATTAAATAATTTGTCCAAGTTTGTTTCCAGACCTTAAACACAAGACTTTAATATTCAGGTAGAGCGAGGTTAGAGCACTTTATTTTGCTAGCCTCTGTATGCCTAGCACCTAGAACGCTGCTTGGCATATAGTATGTGCTCAAATATTTGAATGAATAAATGAAGGGGTCATAAAATTATTACTTTTATTATGGAGAAAGAGTTTAGAAATAATCTGATAGGGCAGTAGCATTCTCTTCCTCTCTAGTGGCAACAGATCTTAGTTAGATGTGGTTGTAAGGACTTCTTTAATCTTATTTTTATCCCACTCTTTCTACTTGGGTATGAAGCAAGTTGTTTCCTAATTGACTGCATACACATAATTATGTATGCTAGGAATGCCCTCCTTCCCTAACTTGTCTATCTCTTCCTTTAAAACTACCTTTTCCTTAAGTCTTCTGCCCCTTCTTAATCCTGAGAGGGGTACTTGGCAGATAAGTAGTCCTTGCCATCTATGTATACCATTTCCTGTTATTGTCAGCAAGTGGGTGCCTTGACCAATGCCTACCCTTCCATCCTTGTGTACAACTGGAGCTTTAATGTTGGTGAGTTCTGCTGCCAGTCAAGCCATGTAAAATGCGAAACTCATAGTACAGTGTAATAAAAACTGTTTACCCCTTATAAATGAAAGCTAGACTCTGGGATTTTAGACAAGCATTTTATTTAGATGTAAGAAGACATAAATAGAAGCATAATGAATTAATTTCTTAATTTGTAGAATAGTGAATTAAGTGATATTCTTCATTGTAGTGCTGAGCATAGAGTAAGTATGTAATTAAAACTTCTTGACTAAAAACCATGCCATTCTGTGCTCCTACTTTTAAACTTGGAAACATTTTCCTTAGCATTTCTGATGGTTTTCATAATCACATTTTCAGGTGAGATGAGTATATACTAGGAATGGGAGATTTTAAGATTAGCTTGATTAAATATAATATTCATGTATCATAAAGAGATTTTCTTTGGGGGAAAAATTAGCTTGAAATAATTAATATGAAATATCCAATATCTGTTCAAGGTATTTGATAGGCTAATAAGGTAGACATTTACAAAATATCCTAGTTGAAAGAAGAATAAATTTGGAA